AGATGGGTTTCAATTTTACATATTCCTGGGGTAGCTTATGTAAGCATTCATCTCTGTCGGGCAAAGACCTCGCAGTCATGAATATTTGCAGGATGGGTGAGAGCCTTCGAAAGATCCATGAAGGGAGCTCGAGACTTCCTTGAGGGCGGAAAACTTTGCGTATGCTGAGTAGCCTTACTATGTGCATATCAGATCAATTATTATTATTATGATTATGATGATGATTATGGTTATCATTTTTTATTATTGTTATTTTTACCGTTGTCATAATTATTATTATTATTGTACAAGGATGCACCATCTTTTACAGGCCATATAGAAAGCTTTGGATCAGAATTTGTCTTAAGTTTATTTTTAATACTGAAGTTTCTAACATAGAACTCTCTCAAACATGGAAACCAAACCAGTGGAACTTTCTCGTACATCTATTATCATGATTATTATTATTTTTTGTTTTTATTTCTAGGATGAGATGGCTGGTTTTCAATATAGAGGACTGATCCTTTGTACTGTTCTTTTAATATGCTGCCCCAGAGCTGCTCTATATCGGTTAACAAATTCACGTGAATATTGGGCATACTTTGTACAAAAGGCAGTTTTGAGTCTGAATTTATTATTATTATTATTATTATTTTCCAGTTTCCTTTCATTTTATTTTATTATATTTTATTTTTTTCATGTGGCATTTTACATAATAATTAAAAACAAAAAACTTACACCAAAGCTTTTGTATAGTCATGATAGGCACCAGTATGAATGAAAGAAGATTGCTAGATGTGACTGACAGACATAAATCGGACATGTCTTTGTTGACTGTAAATGTAGACAAGACATGGGAAAGTTTACATTATTGGTCGCTTGTATTCCTAGTATAAATGAAAGAAGCAATGTGACTGATATAGATTTTTTTGGTTTATAATTTGTTATTTTTAATATTACAAATTTCCTTCATGTTGTACCATTTTAATCATCATTTTTGTTCTTATTAATAAAACCAAACACTATATATATATGTGGGTGCAGACTGTCTTCATGTTAAAATAAATCCAAGAAATGGAACAAAGTTACTCATGTAACAAAAATACAAAAAACAAAAAACAAAAAAAAAAGACAAAAAAAAAAAAAGTGTAATTCTAAGGTGAATAGAATTTTCTGCCCTGCAGGTGTAATGATATTAAAGTTGCATTGCTCTTTAGAAACTCTTAATCTCCTAACACCTGTGGAGTCGTAATAAGCTGCAGAGTAACAAAAATATAAAAAAAAAAACGACTTGGAAAATAAGTTTCCTGATCATGTTGACCATGATTACCTAAAAGGAAACTACATGTAAAAAAAAAAAAGCTCAAAATGACAAAATGCAAAAAAGTTAATTGTACGTGTGCTTTTGTATATTATCTTATTTCTAAGCTAATCACGCTAAGTGGCCTCTGTGCTTATGGTAACAGGAATGGAGACAATGCTGACAAAGTTTTTGTATCAAGCAACTCAAAAAAAGTAATAAAAATATGCAAATTTTGAAGTAGTTTTAATTTTCATCCTTTTTTTATTCGTTTTGTTGTGGGGAGTTATTTTTTTACACAGGTTTTCCTTTTGTATTCTCATTTTTTTCATATTTGTATAAGAATTATAATTCCACTGCCCCAATCCCATGCCCGTTGTTATTGTGGAGGGGCTTGAGATTAGGACTGAGGCCCAATATGGGGGATCACTCCTGCCCTGGACCTCAGCTCTCGCCTCAACTTATTTTGTATGGTCTTTTCTTCAACTTTTTTTTCCTTCTCGTCTTCATTCCCTTCTGTCCACATCCTTAAGTGCGAGAGCTGTGCTGAAAGGATGAAAGACTGGCTTTGTGTCAGTCTAATACTGTCCCCTCTCCCCGGATTATTCTCCTACTTTTCCAACAGTCTTCTCTATTTTTCCTTGAACATTTTTCCTATACCCTCCCCAGTGACAGATACACTAATTCACTCAATTGCCGTACCTCCTTAACCCTCCCCTTTCTACTAATTGCTTTAATTCACTTATTCCCCTTTTTTGCCATTTCACTACCATACTATCCTATAACGCTCTCTAAGATGTCTTTGACATTTAATACATTTTATTGTAATCTTTAACTCTTCTTTGCCCTCTTCAACGCAAGATGTTACCATATGTCACCAATATGACCTTTGATGTCCAGCACATTTATTTGTTTCAAACACCGAACAATTGTGTCAAGTCCTGAATGACCTTACTATTTTGTTTGCTTTTCCCTCGTTACCCTTTTCACTACCGTACTAACCTAAAACCTTTGACACCTATAGTATTTTGTCCTAATAACTGAATTTTTGTTTTCCCGTACTTTCCTTACCTGGGGACTTTGGCCACAAGCCTCACCCTATTGCAATATTTTGAATATGCCGTTAATGAACTTAGATGTTGATGAAGCAGAAATTCTTCAGTAAATAAAAAAAATAATATATATTCCACTGCTTGATTTTTTTTTTTTCTTTTTCAAGGAAAATGAAGATAGCAAGAAACAATCTTTCAATCGGATGAAATTTCAAAACCATAGCCAGTGTGTGCAATATGCTTATTTGTCAGCTATTGGAATTTTTACCATTAACTGTTGAATGTGTAATTGACCCATAGTCTTCAGTAAACATCTTGAGATGCTGGAAGAGGCCAACAGTTGCTTCATCCTTTTTGCAGACCCAATATGTAATATTTGTGGGCTCCATTGGCCATGTGATATGCTGTTGATGCCAGGAGTGTATGTATACATCCTTTGTACACTTTATATATATATATTTTTTGCTTATTTTTACTTATTTTTTTTTTACAGATGTTGCTTCATTAGTCTCCATTGAGTCATTTACTAGGCCTATCTAACAACACCTCTTTACCCATTTTCTCAGATTTTTAGGATTCTTTGTAATGTTGTTATATTATTTCTTCCTAAGTATTATAATGAAGACCCCTGTGTATAAAGAAAAGAAAAGAAAAGAAAAGAAAAAAAAAGGTACTTTGCACCAATTTGGTTGTGAGAATTGGTGTAACATTAATATGTTACAGTGTAGGAGTGTTGGAGTTGTGTAATGTGCTGGGGCAATAATGGAGCAGGGTGAGGGGCTGTGTTGAGGCAGGTCAGCGCAATCAGCATCTTTATTGAAGTTCGTTAGAAATTAGTAAATTTATTTAGAATGGGTTTTATCAACTTTATTCCCACTATTAATTCACTGCCACCTGATTTCTCGTTTCCATGAGCATACAGGAAATATTCTTTATAATGCTTTCATTAATGGCAATTATTACAATTGGCATGCTAATTATTTAATGTTATTAAAAATACCAATAGCAATGTAATCTTTAGTATTTCTGAAAATTAAGGAAAAGGTTGAATAGGTGAGATAGGCAGGATTGGTAATTGGCTTTGGTGACTAAGCACTTGTGTAGTTCTTTGTAAACATTAATAAATCTAAACTCTCAGTAAGCATGGCATACACGTAGATCACATCCTGGTATCAATGAGTTAACAAAAGAACCAAAGATAAGTGATTGGTCACGTTTTTGTTTGGGTAGTTTTTTTCTTGTTTTCATGATCACCGTCATCATTATACAAATGCCCTTTTTCTATTTTCTTGTGTATGACAGAAGTATATGAAAAATTTGTGGAAAATTGGTTGATTTTTTTTTCATCAATTTTGTAGAGGAGAAATGGTGTGTACATTTACATTTATCTATCTTGCTTTTGAAGTAAAATGCTTGAGATGTACATTTCAAAATTAATTTGAAGAAAGGAAAAATTACAAATCCAGCAACCTAGCAATGAAATATATAGATGAGAATAAACAGTCAAAATGGGGAGTATGAATGTTCTTGTAATCTTACAAACCTTTTCTTTTTTATATATTGATTTAGAAGCAAGATTGTGCAACAAGGATATGTACTTTGAGATGCAATTCATTTTTTATACCGAGGCAAGTAAGGATCCACCAAGTCCAGTGGTTGCTGTCAAATTTTGTAGTTATTATTGAAGATTCAAACTGATGTCAATTAAGAGCCAAGGGTGCAGTTTGCTCAGCTGCTTATTCTTGTTCATCTGACTGTTGGCTCTCTTATTGCAGGTTATTAATCTAAACCCTCCATTTTCAGTCAATGTGTAGCATTTTTATCTGCTCTTGCAGGAGAAAAACTGGTCTTGGAGAATGTATAAATCACTAATTTATGAAAGCTTTACCATGATTGTAGAAGGTAAAGAATTTTGTTCTTCCTATACAGAATATCACTTGTAGCTTTTAGCGCAACATTCAGCTTCTAGATACTTTGATATCTAAGGTAGAAAACCCATGGACTAAGTCCTTAATATACTTAGTGAGATTTACCATGATACTTATTTTGGAGTATTAATGAGTTAGCATTACTATTTAGCTGTGACTATTTGTCTTGTGAATATATTGATACAATTCGTATTGTAAAGATGAGTGAATTTGTTTCTAAGGCCAGTAAAGAGCCTTTGTAAGTCACACTGATTTCCCTGGGTAGATTATACTTAAAGCCATAAGTGTGGCTTTACAGCTTTCTGGAAAATGGGTTTTCATACATAAAGGAATAATCTTTTAGTTTGCTTGTATGACTGGGTAATATTGCTGGAAGGGTAAGAATAATAGTATCTGGATTATATAACTGATGGTAATCCATCTCCAACTGCCTTTAGAATTACATTGAGATAACAAAAATTTAAATTGTTATACATGCTTGATCAGATATTAATAAAACAAGATAACATTTGTGGGACACAGGTTTACAGTGAAAGATGCATTTACTTACTCTCCTTATAAAATGATGGGATAATTAAGCTTTGCAACAAAGTTTAATGGAAGATGATTATTTCATGATTATTGCGGTTAGCAAAATAAATGAAACAATTGTAGAGACTACTACTTTTCACTATATATACACCCAACAAAAATTAATCTTGTAAGACTTCAAAACTTTTAAGGTTTCCAAAAAACTTTTAATAAAAGGATACATATTTATTACAAAAGGGTAAACTGAACATGATGTGCAATGCTGTACGTTTAATGTACGAGCTATTCCACAAAAAACTTACAGTCCTTTTTTAAAGATACTTTAGCTCAAATACACATGAAAAGCAGTTCAGCTAACACTTTGCAATATACGGTTGAGCTTCTGGAAGCCACTGAGAAAGGTGACCATTCAAGTTCCTATATATTCTCCCAATTGAGAAACAAGCAACCTTCAGGGGGGTAAGGGGGGGGAGGGGGGAATCAAAAGACTATACCTGTACATGCACTTGGTAAAATGAAAAAAATATACATGTATTTAAAAAGATATATTGACAAAAAAAGAAAGAAAAAAACAAACTAGTACATGGAAATTTACATTTATATATAATTATGACATCCTAATTTTTAAATGCTTGATTCAGGGTCGTCAAATAAAAGATAAAGATTTACAAGGATTCTCAGTGGCTTGAAGACACTCCCCCAAGCAGAGTTCCTCTCAGAGCTGGTACATACTCTCAAGCTCCAAGTTCCTAAAGAACTTGTATCAAGCGGTTGTACGTACATACATACAAATCAATATAAAAAATCACACTTAGAATATGAAACACTGAAGTTGCTATGACTTGGAGAGTGGTTTACTTTATCTAATAATGGTCAATAACTGACATTTTACTGGAAGATGTTCGGACAGAAAGCAGTTTGTTTAATTTAAAATAAATTCAAGTAGAAAATCTAACTACATGTGACAAAAAGGTGGTTTGCTTTCTTGCTAGATGAACTGCGCAGTTGTCTGGTCTAAATGCTGCACTCCATGTGACTTGCAGATACAACAGTCTAGTTACCAAATGAACCATAAAACAACTGGCATTTGGTCACGGTCACAGTACAGTCAGCAAAATGTTCAGTAATGCAGTCATGAAAAGATAGACAGAGAAAAAGGCATGTGTCAAACTAATAATTGCAATAATTCAGATAGGATTTTTTGACTACAGCAAATAAAACATGAACGTATTGGAACATAGGAATACAAGAACAACTTATAATATTAACAAATAATAATAATTATACAATAGCAATGAAAAGTATTATCCTTCGGACATGATTTTATTAGTCCAACGCAGTCAAGGTTTGCTGGCCCCTGCCCAAAACCAGAGCCATTACATCATACAAATGCTTTACTTTGAATAAAGAATATATACTATATCTGCTCATGGCAACATCTACTAGTCTTAAAAGCAAGAACATCCTGGCTTTAAAGCCACCTCTGAAATATAAATATTCCCAGGAAGGGGCACCTGACATTGTAACAATCTAACAATGCAGACTTTAACATAAAAATAGTCAATTCCCTCTCTTCCTCTTTGATACATATGTAAAAACAAAAGGATTTTCTTTCCAGAATAGAGCTACAAGGTTAAATGACATAGCATAAATCCATATTCAACTTATCTAGAACTACAACTTCGTCGGAAGTTGGACAAAATCATCTCCCCAGTCAATACTAAGAAACATTATGCTGGGCTCTAGCATCACTGGCATAAAGAAATTCCTGTCTGCAGTTATGATCCCCGTTACCTCACTCCACTTCCCCTCCACCACATATTCTATTAGTATGTATAGCCCACATGTAACTATAGTATATTCACTCATAATGGTGAAGTGGAGGCAAACTACATAAACACTTTCCTTTCAAAGAGCTGGGAACTTAAAAGTTTACACTTCATCTGGTAACAATGGGCCCCAGGATTAACAGATACAGCAAAAATCTTGGAGGTGAAGGGAAAGGAGCCAGTATGATTATTGGCCTCCTGGTAGCACTCGGGCAGACTGCATTGTTCATCCCATTCTCATCTCAATAACATCACTCTGCAAGGAAAGGGAAAGAGGAGGTTAAACCACAAGTCACAGATGGGTCATACTCAAAGCTGATGCGCAATGGCCCCATGGGGAGGGAGGAGGAGGAGAGAGAGGAAAGAAGAGAGAGAGAGAGAGAGAGAGAGAGAGAAGAGAGAGAGAGAGAGAGAGAGAGAGAGAGAGAGAGAAAAGAAAGAGAGAGAGAGAGAGAGAGAGAGAGAGAGAGAGAGAGAGAAAGAAGAGAGAGAGAGAGAGAGAGAAAAGAGAGAGAGAGAGAGGAGAGAGAGAGAGAGAGAGAGAGAGAGAGAGAGAGAGAGAGAGAGAGAGAGAGAGAGAGAGAGAGAGAGAGAGAGAGAAAGAAAGAGAGAAAAGAGAGAGAGAGTAGAGAGTAGAGAGAGAGAGTAGAGAGAGATAAAAGAGAGAGAGAGATGAGAGATAGAGTAGAAAAGAGAAGAGAATGAGTAGGAAATAAGAGAAGAGAGAGGAGAGAGAGCAGAGAGATAAAAGTAAAAGACGTAGATGAGAGAGAGGAGAGAGATACATAGATAAGATGAAGAATGAAGAAGGTAAGCAGAGAGTTAGAGGAAGAAAGAGGAAATAGAGAGGATGAAGAGAGAGAGGAGAAAAGTATAGAAGAGAGAAGAGAGAGAGAGAAAAGAGAGAGAGGAGAGAGAGAAGAGAGAGAGAGAGATGAGAGAGAGAGAGAGAGAGAGAGAGCAAGAGAGAGAGAAGAGAAGAGAAAGAGAGAGAAGAGAGCAGAAAGCAAAGGATGGAGAGAGAGAGGAGAGGAGAGAAAGAAAGAAGAGAGAAGAGAGAGAGAAAGAGAAAAGAAAGATGAGAGAGATGAGTGAGGAGGAGGAGAGAGAGAAAACGGACGTTCAGGGTCGGATTAGTAAGGTCGAAAGGTGCAGAGAGGAGTCGCGGCATCGACATGAAGCGACCTCGGGAACATAACCCCAACAGACGGGGAGCATCGAATTGGAGAGGTAGAGATTTTCGAGGAGAGAGTGGACTACCGCAGAGAGTAGAATAGACGAGTAGGTAGATTGACGAGTGAGTAGGAGAAATTAATTGATGGGACCAGCAAGGCGGGGCCACGATAGCGGAAGATGTAAATAACGTCAGAAACTGTCACTAAATTAGCAAGGCTAGAGTTAGAAGAGGTGAAGAGAGAGCAGAGAGAGGAGGGAGAGAAGGTTAAGAAGACCAGGCTAAAGAGACGAAGAGAAGAGAGAGAGGAGAGGAGAGAGGAGTTGATGTGATGGGAGAGGGATTAAGGAGAGTATAAAGAGATAAGAGAGATTGACGAGAAGTGGCGGAGAGCGAGGAAGCAGAGAGAACGCGATTGAATTAAGAAGAAGAAAAAGTATGAGAAGAGTGTAGAGAGCAAAGAGGCTTGATCGAGTAAAATGATAGATGATAGCAAGAAGAGTGAGAGAGAATGAGCGATGAAAAATAGACATGTAAAGAAGACTGATGAGAGAAGAGTAGACTGAGAAGAGATGATGGCGAAAAAGAAGAAGAATAGAGAGAGAGAAAGATGAGAAGCGAGAAATAGAAGAAGAATAGAGAGAGAGAGATGAGTAGTAGGCGATGAAAAGAAGATAGGAAGAGAGAGAGGAGAGAGAGAGCGAGAAAATGAAGAAGAAAGAGCAACTAGAGAAGAGAGCGAGAAAAGGGAGAAGAAGAATAAGGAGAGGAGAGAGAGAGAGCGAGAAAAGTATAGATTAGTATGAGAGAGAGAGTAGAGAGGAGATCCGTCGTGATGATAATAGAAGAAGAATGAAGAGAGATGAGAACGGTTAAGGAGAGCGAGTATAAAGAAATATAGAGCAGGAGAGAGAGAGGAGAGAAGCGAGAAAGCAAGTAAGTAGTAAAGAGAATGAGAGAGAGAAGAGAGCGTTATTTGAGTATAGATATGGAAGAGATAGGAGAGAGATGTAGATGAGAGTCCAGATAAAGAATGACGAAGCTATAGTAGCAGAGTAGAGACGAGGAGCCGATGAATAGAGTAACAGAGAAGAGAGAGAGAGAGAGAGATGAAAATGATGAGAGAGAGAAAAAGAGAGGAGAAGATAAAAGAACAAGAGAGAATGATGAGAGATGAGGAAGAGCAGAGAGAGAGGAGAGAGAGAGAGAGAGAGAGAGAGAGATGAGAGAGAGATGAGTAGATGAGAGAGAGGAGAGAAGAGAAAATAAAAAAGAAATGAGAGAAAAGAAAGTGTGAGAGAGTAGTAAGAAGTAGAGCATGAGTGAGAGAGAGAGATGTGATAGATGATGTAGTAGATTGAGAGAAGAGTAGATGAGAGAGAGAGGAGAGAGGAGTAGTAGAAAGAAAGTAGAAAGAGAAGAGAGGAGATCAGTAAGAGAGAGAGAGAAGAGAGAGTATTGTGAGAGAGAGGAGAGAAAACATAAGATTAATGAAAGAAATGAAAGAGAAGAAAGAGAAATGAGTTTAGAGAGAGAGTATTGAGATTGAGAGTAGAGAGAGATGAGAAGAAAGAGAAGAAAGTGTAGAGAAGTAGAGAGAGTAGAGAGAGAGGAAGAAAGAAAAGGAAAGAGAGAGAGGAGAGAGAGAGACGTAAGAAAGAAAAGAGAGAGAGAGAGAGAAAAGAAAGATGAAGATGAGGAGAGAGAGTAGAAAAGAAAAGAGAGAGGAGAGAGGAGAGAGAGAATAGACGAGATGATGTAGTAGCAGTGAGCAGAGAGAGGAGATATAGTTATTAGAGAGAGGAAGAGAGATGAGATGAGAGAGATGAGAAAGTAGAGAGGAGAGAGAAGAGAGTATATGAAGAGAAGAGAGAAGAGAATATGAGAGCATAGAGATGTAGAGAGGTAGAGAGAATAGTAGAGGAAGAGAGTATTAGATGAAGTAGAGAGAAAGTAGAGAAAGAGGAGAGAAGATATAGGAGAAGAGAGAGAATTATCGAGAGAAGAAGAATAGAGAAGAGAGAGAATAAGAAGCATGAGAGAATAGAAGAGAATGAGAACATGAATAATGCTATATACGAATATAATGAGAGATTAGAATCACGGAAGAAGAGTATATGTAAGAGAAGAGTTGAGAGAGAGAATAAGAAGAAGAGTAGAAGAGAAAAGAGAGCAAAAGAGAGAGAGGATAAAGAGAGAGCAGAGAGAGAAAAGAGAGTAGATGCTAGAGAAAAAGAGAGAGAGAGAAAAAAGAAGAGAGGAGAGACTGAAAGTAGAAGAGAGGCAGAAAAGAGAGAGAGAGAAGAGAAAAGAGAGAGATGAGAAGAGAGAGAGAGAAAGACGAAGAGAAGAGATAGAGGAGAGAGAGAGATGAGAGAAGAGACGAGGACAGGTATGAGAGAGAAAGCTAGTAGAGAGAGAGATGAGAGATATTTAAGATTGAGATGTATTTAGAGTATTTTTAATGATGTCCATGATGCAGATATGTCATGAAGTATGAGAGGAGAAGGAGATGAGTAGGTATGAGAAGATATGAAGCTAGTATAGAGAGAGAGAGTATGCAAGAGAGAAGAGAGGAAGAAGAGCATGAGGAGAGAAGCTAGAGAGAGAAGAGCTATAGAGAGAGAGAGATGAAGACGAGATGAGACAGATGAGAGAGAGAGAAGTAGAGAAAGAAAATTAAAATAGAAAGAAGATTGAGTTAGGAAAGAATAAAAATGGAAAAATTTTAAATAGAAAAAAAGGGAAATAAAAAATAGTTGATAAGAGAGAAAAGAGAGAGAGAGAGATAAAGTAGGAGAGAGAGAGAAAAGAGAGAGTAGAGAAGAGAAGAGAAAAGTAGAGTATGAAGAGAGAGAGTGAGTTGAATGTTGGGTGTGGCTGGTGTGATGTAACATGTACATTCCAATATATGTGTGTGTACGCCAGTATCTGCATGTGTTTGTGCACTTGTGCGTAAATGTGGTGTGTGCATGTGTGCGCCTGGGTTTGTGTGTCTGGGTGTATGTGTGGTGTGTGTGCATTCTGGGTGTATTGTCTGGATGTATGTGTGTGTGTGTGTGTGTGTTTGTGTGGTGTTGTGTGTGTGTGTGGTGTGTGTGTGTGTGTGTGTGTGTTGTGTGCATCCTGGTGTATGTCGTGTTTGTGTGTGTGTGTGCATCTGGGTGTATGTGTGTATGTAAGGTGTGTGGTGCAGTGTATGTGTTGGTGTGTTGCATCTGGGTGTATTGTGTCTGGATGTATGTGGTGTGTGTGTGTGTGTGTATGTGTTGTGTGTGTGTGAGTGTGGTGTATGTGTGTGTGTGTTGTGTGTGTGTGTGTTGTGTTTGTGGTGTGTGTGTGTCTGGTGTATGTATGTGGTGTGGCATGTAAAGTGTGCATTGGTGTGTGTGTGTGTGCATGTGTGTGCATCTGGATGCTGGTGTGTGGTTGTGTGTGCATTGGTGTGTGTGCATCTGGATGTGTGTGTGGTGTGTGTGCATGTGTGTGCTATCTGTGGATGTGTGTGTGGTGATGTGTGCATGTGTGTGCATCTGGATGCGCCGCCTCTGGTGTGTGTGCATGTGCTGTGTGTGTGTGTGTGCAAGTTGTGCAATCTTGGCGTGTTTGTGGTGTGTGGTAACGTTAGCAGTCTGGGTGTGTGCCTGTGTGCATCTGTGTTGTCGTGTGTGTGTGTGTTGTGCAATGTTGTTCATCCCGTCCTGGGTGTGTCCGTGTGGTGCATTCGTGTGTGTGCATCTAGGTAGTGTGTGTGTGTGTCATGTGTGTGATTGTGTGTGGCAACTGGTTGTGTGTGTGTGTGCTTGTGTGATCTGGATGTGTGTGTTGTCGCTGTGTGCACTGTGTGTGCATGGTACCCTGGATGTATGTGGCTGTGTCATTGTTGCGGCATCTACTTGCTTATGTGCCATGTGTTTCCGTATTTAAATCTCGATAATTCGCTTTCTCTTTACTAGTTATATCGATCACCACAGCAGATGAATGTGAGCATTATATATTTATATCTCACTTCTAAAAGAAGAAAAGATGAACATATACTACCCTGTTGCTCAAACTCATCCATCCAATAGCACTTTAAAAATTCTAGACTTTTTAGCAAAGAAAAAAAAGTAACAAACATGTATCCCTATATCAAATGCGTAAATAAACAAACAAGTACGTGAAGTGAAAATATTATACGCGTGCGCAGCGATTGGTGATTTACCTTTACAAAAGGGTACACTTAGGCTTCTTCTTCTTCTTGACAGCTAAGGCAGCCCTTGTTGCCGTCTCGAAAACTTCCCGCACACCCTCCTTGGTCTTGGCAGAGCACTCCAGATAAGCAAATGCATTTATCTTCTCGGCCATGTTACGACCCTCTTCAGGCTTTACCGGCTCCTGCTTCATTTTCAATAGTTCTTTAATAGTTGGAGCGTCATTCCTTAGATCCTGGGGGGGAAATGGACGGTCATTAAGTACTAGTAGTGACAAAACAGATTAAAGAACTATCTAAATGGCCAAGGTTAACAAGTAATGTTTGTTATCTGTCGAAATATTTCACCCCCCTTCTAACTGCTTTTCTTATTTACTTCTTTGATGATTTACTTAAAACTAGGGTGGTATTTTCACCATGTAATAATTTCCCAGCAATAACAAACTTAAAATCTAAGTCTTTCACAACACCAAATTAAAATCCAAGTACCGTGTCAAAGCCACACCAAGAACACTGTATGATCTGTTCACCTACCTTTTTGTTTCCAACAAGGATAATAGGAACATTTGGACAGAAGTGTTTAACTTCGGGCGTCCATTTTTCTGGAATATTTTCTAACGAGTCCGGAGAGTCAATAGAGAAACACATGAGTATGACATCTGTGTCGGGGTAGGACAGAGGCCTCAATCTGTCGTAGTCCTCCTGACCTGCTGTGTCCCATAACGCTAGTTCCACCTGCGGAGGCAAGGTAAGAGGAAAGATTAAGAACTGTTTTGGTTGACACACGCACACACAAACACACAACAGCCTTTCAACTAACCATTTATTTTTCTTTTCTTTTTTCAATTATCTTTATATTGCCAACAAAAGACAAATGGAAAAACAAAGCTCTTAACCCTACTGTGCATTATGTAATGTTTTGCATCAAAAAGAGATAACAATATTGAAGTACATAATCTAAATATTCTTCAAAAACTAGTTTGTTTATTTACTCCCCCAATTTTGAGAAAACATCTTTCCTGGGAGAAGGGAGTGAGTGCTAAATCTAAAAGTTAGTGCACAATATCTAAATAAAAAAAAAGAAAAAAAGAAATCTGCCGTAAACACAAAGTGCAAACTCGCAAAAGTTACTTTACTGAACGTCTGAATAATATGAAACTTACCTGTTTTCCGTCAACTTCAATATCTGCTACATAATTCTCAAATACTGTGGGCACGTAGACCTCAGGGAACTGGTCTTTGGAGAATACTATGAGGAGACATGTTTTACCACAGGCACCATCACCTACAATTACTAGCTTTTTCCTAATGGCCGCCATGGATTCTGCAAGGCAAGAGAAAGACAAGATTTATGGTTGATCAAGAAATGAAATGGACATGCACTTGATATGTTCCAAAACTGTCAAGTCTACTTCACAAAATTCACAAAAATATTACTTGTTCATTTTTGCCCTTTCCCTTGCTCCCTTTCCAAGGAAGCACCAAGTGGTTTCATCCATACAAACCATTTCTCTCTTTAGCTAAAAAAAAATAATAAAAAAAATATATAGATATATATGGACAACTGACATATGCCACGACACACAGCGCACATATGGATTCATGCTTAAATCGTTAACCCCTCTGTACAGTGCGCATTACTGGATTCATCTACGTACTCACGTGTTGGGTTATATGTCCCTATAGATCTCTGTTCATCATACAAACTAGAAGTCCATAAATTTGTGACCCTCAACCATGGGGCATCTTCCATCATGCTCTGTGAATCCAACAAGTGGCAGAGAGTAGTAAACTGATTGGCAATGCCTTATTCAAGCTTCTTGATGAATCTGGACTAATGATTTTAACCAATCACTTTGAATATAAACGGGTATAACCAACTACTAGAATCCAGTGTCGTAAGTTTTGCAATAACACCGAACTGCACATGAGGTGATACAGCCCATACAAAGGCATAAAATCATCTAAAGTAAAGCCTCTCATTTGGTGAACTAACTTGTATTTAGCGAATTTCACCAATGACTATCATGGATTGTCCAAAACAAATTTAGCGTTTGGAGACAAATTATCATCATTTTAATTAAATCTGAGTCCCCCCTCCCCATCATCACGAAACGATGTCACAGAATATGAAACGCAAAGAAAATGTGTCCTGTCCTTTGTTTCATAAGCATCTTATGCAAAATTTGTTCATAAGTAAGTTGCCGATATGGCATCAAAGACATACAAGCTGTACATCGAGGGGGAGGGGGTATTAAGCAACTTGATATGGACACAGGTAAATATCCAAGCAAAAAGAAGTGCCAATATCACACAATAATAATAATGATAATAATAAAAACAGCAGCAGCTTCAAAGATAATTTCTCTCCCAGTCTCCGTAAATAAAGTATCTAAACCAGAAAACCACTATTTACTCTCCTTTCGTTCACATCATGGTATTTCAGAGTGAAATTGTGGCAAGTCTGCTGTCTCCAGTAAAAAAAATTCTTTCCATTTGTTTAATTATCTGCAATTAGGAAGCCTTTGGAGTACCACTTATTTGCCAAATACAAGGCTTCACTGTATGCAGTTATTAAAGATTCTATTGTAAAATCTAGCAATCACTTTCATGGTGCACCCTGCTGTTTGAGTAAATCCTTTTATTTTATCAACATTACTTCCTAACCCTATCTTAAACTGAATCAGCTTTACGAATATAACAAAGAATTTCACATGGTCTCTAAGCGGCAACTACCAGCTTTGGAACAAATACAAGAATAAAGATTTTCATCATCATTTTGACAAAATGTAAGTGGACAAAGCATTATCTTAACCCCATGAAAAAGAATGCCCTAAAGTAAAAAGAAAGTACCTAAAATGCTCGACATATCCACCGACAGATAATAGGCAATACTAAGGCTTCCTTCTTTTGTATCAGTGTCACTGAAAAATGAAAATATTCCTGACTGCCCAAAACTAAATCCAATATCTTTAATTCCATTACTGTTCCTTTCACTGACTTTTTTTCCTTTAAAGTCAAGTAGATGATAAAGGCATCATTTGAATACAAAAGGTAACGGAATAAAATAAAAACCATAAAATCAAAATAATAAAAGCACAGAAAAACAATAAGCCTGTCGACAAACAAACCTAAGTCATCAAACAGACTTTCCTCAATCAAAAAGAAAATTATTCTTTGAAAATACCACTTTTCTACAAGGATCAACATGATTTTTTTCAGTACATAAACATTAATTTGCAGTTATTTGCATCTTTTAAAAGCAGCAAACCATTTTCAAGATCACAACTGTCACCACATATGGTAATTTAAGGGCATACAAAATCTACCTCTTACTGTCTCTGAACTGGTTCATGTTTTGCAAAGGCAAAAGAGCACCACAAATTTTAGGATGAACAGATGTCACAGAACATAGCAAATTTCAAATAAAGCTACAAAGATAATCATTTCTTTTTCTTTTTCAACCACAGTATGTTTTTTAAGCATATAATCTGTCACCATCATGATGGATTTCAAATGGTAGGCCTTCCATCAGAAATCACAGCTTGTTGATCTGAACACTCAATAAAAATATAAGAAAAAAGTCACAATTTGTAAGCCAGAGTACATAGCCTCAAAACATCAGGCAAACCCAGAACTGATCCTTAACCTAGGACAAAATAAGTCTACGTCCATTCTAAAAAATCCAGAGGGACTTGATCGTCTATAATCCAATGTGAGGAAAAACGTCTTGTAACAAACCCAAAATCCCCTTGCCCAATAATGCCTCGAGGATAATGCGTTCTGGCCTGAAGTGGGAGGTTTTCCAGAACCCGAGTACCGCACTTCCAGGATTGGGCGATGGGAAGGACTGGCTTACTGCAGTGACACCATACAAGTTTCATAAAGAATCAACCCCATTGAACCAGTCACCGATGCCCCGCCCACCCTCTGAACAAGTGGTATGACAGATTCATACTGACTGGTTAATAGAGCATGAATTTTTGCAAGACAATATTCAATATTTTACAATATAAAGCAAGCAAAGCATGTCAGATTTGGAAATGCTGGAGCCTCGTATCCTTTTAAAAACATCTTCCTACGTTTCAAATCTACTAGAACTTTCTACTGTGAGAACAAAGCAAATTTAAATTCTTACAATAAATATAGAAATATTCTTAAAATACCTAACCAACAAAGCAAGTTCAACTTCTTACAATATATATATAAATATATATTGTCACCCTTTTCCAGTGTTAAAAGGCCACTCTGATCACAGGAGCTCAGGACAAACTCTCTTTGTAGTCTTTGTTAAAGTTGGGCTTAATCAACTGTATCTCATTTTCTGCCATATCACATGTGCAAGTTCATGACTGAATTTTAAATCTTACAGAGCTAGAAGATATTTTTTATGCATCAGAAAGCAGACTCTCTGTAAAGTAAGAATTTCTGATCAAATCACCGTCAACATTTCTCGAACTATTCAAGTCAAATACCTATCACCTGGTTATAAAAGCATTACCGGTACACAGAATATCAAGAACTGAAATTTTAAAACCCCTAACTTCACTTTTCTTTCCAAAAATCCTTTAGTATGAAGAGTAGGTAAGGCTTTTTCATCATAACCAACAAACGTACAAACCGAAGTTCACCATTCACTGATAAGGCTGCTTAATACCTGCTATATATTCAGCATCTCCACCCCACCCACCTACAAGCCCCTGATCAATCAATGGGTGGGGCCTGTGACTATGACTGGCAGAGTGAGTCTACTTTATGCTCCAATGTGAAACAATTCTGTAACACCAAGGTAAGGGGGAGAAAACGGTGTATGTTTATCTATTTACCACAAATAAAATTGGAGAAGCAAACTATTCTATCCTAGTACCAAGAGAAGCAATTTTCTCATACTGAACCAGAAGGAAAACTAGTGTTCACCCAACTGTTCACAAAATACTGGTTTAAACAAGTATTCTACAGTAAACTGGGTATACCCAATAAGGCTTCTTTACTTTACAGATGTTGAACAAAGATACCAATATAACCAATTTCTCTGGGCTTCACTGATGCAACCTCCAAATTTGCCTGCTAGATAAATTGCCGTAAACGATGCACATATGGAACACTTGCTTACAAATTCTTTTCCTACAATGGCCACTGCTTGACTGAAAACCAGAAAATACATGCCAATAGCAGTCAGCTTTTGAAACTGGCTATTCTCTTGAAACCATATTGATTGAATCTTGCTGTAAGCTACGGTTGAAGACCTACATTCACAAATCCAACAAAATAATGAAGCGTATGTATGAGTATGAGTACAGAGGCTTTGTAACTTTTACTAGAAGGAAGCATATTGCTTTTGGTAGTCCAGTCCTCAAGTGCTTACATGATCAAAATGCATCAAGATCTTAAAGGCACTGCAATCATATTCAAAATACAGACCATTATAAACATTAATCCTTTACAACAGAGAAAAGCCTACTTCATGTTATCCGTAAATAATAATAATAATAAAAAGAAATTCCCACACACCGTCAGCACAAGCACAAACAAAACCACATTCCACTTTACCTTCCCAAACCCTAAACAAACTCCCAAACAAACCTAATAACCAAGGGGCGGAACCTGAAACCGGTGACAGCACAAACGTCAAAGACGGCCGAATCTCTTGGGAAAACAAGTGGAAAAAAACAAAGAAAGTAAGCCCCTCCCCTTTTCCCTATTTCCTCATTCATCCAGCAAAATAACAAACTAAGAGAAGGAGCATGAGAAAATAGCAACACAAATAATAACAATGAACAGCTGATCCAGAGTATGGCTTCACCACAACACAACACATGGAGAACAACAACACAAAAAAGGCCTTTCTCAACGCTGAAATGGGACCCTCCAGACAACCCGCCGCCCACCTAGCACACGCGCTTTCAATCCCTCGGCTTGGGCACGCAAATCCCCGGACAAAACCCGTGACCTAGATTTTCCCCCCTGTAGTCCTATCCCCTTCGGAATGCCACTCCCTCCCGGAACAAAACAAACTCGCCGCACTTCCCCTCGCTCGGAACAACAACACGAGTGCTTCGGGGGGAGTTTCACCTCCAAACAGAATTCGGAAAAGACAAGAACACCTCTGACGGATTATTCGCAGGTTCCCTCGCGTCAGGAGAGCCACAAAGTCGTTCCATTGGGAGCCTGGAGGACCCGATCTCTCTCCTCCTCCGGGAAAAGCCCAATTCCACAGCACCCTGGCGTCCTCGCACGGAATAGAAGAGCAAAATAACCAAATCCTCTTTTCCCTCCGTGTTGGAAAAGTCCCAGAACGAGGTCCCTTTCCAGCTGATTCACGGGTTATCGACGTCCGCTGAGAATCGCGACTCCAACCCACGGCCATTTCGACGTCAAATCCACGAAAAAAAAAACACTCGGGGGGAAAAAGACGTAAAAAACCGGGGATATCGGGAGCGAAAACAAAAGCGCTGGGACGAGACGGGAGCCAGAAGAAGCTGCCGAGGGTAACGCCTTCTCCGCCCTCGAAAATCCCCCGATTTTGCCTCCCAAACTCCCCCTTCGGGAGGCTCTCCTACCGGTCTAGGGGCGTCGCGAGGACTGAGGGGGATCGCGGGGGACTGGGACTCCTCCCGAAGGCGCCGAGAGGGCTTCCCGAGCGGCCGCCGAGCCTCCGAAAAACGACCGAGGGAGGAACAAACGGCTCTAACGGACTCCTCTCGCTCGCCCTCGCCCTCTTCGACGCCCTTTTCCTCCGTCGAGCGGCCCTCCCGCCCCTCCAATCGCACGCCCGATCCTCCGGCAGACACTCCCGTCGCCCCCGAGCCGCGGTGCGAGGCGGCCGAAGGGCTCAAGGACTAGTTATTACCTCACGAAGGGCACGAAGTGGGAGACGAGCCAGGGTCCAAGATGGCTGCCGGGCCACACCTTAAGGCCAAGAGGAGAGGAATGCGTGACGTCACTCGCGCCGCGACCACAAGCCTCCGATTCGGAAACAAGTGACGATCGCGCGGGGGCCCGGGGAGGGGGAGGGAGGGAGGGGGAGGGATGGAGGGGGGGAGGTGGAGACGCGTTCGAGTTTGATGAACGCGACGACCCAATTGGGGGAAGGGGAGGGGCGGGAGGGTGCAGGAGGTGGATAGGAAGGGGAGGTAGATAGGTAGGTGACTAAGAGGGGGATGGTGGATTGGTGATAGGGAGGAGGGGGGGGGGTGGAGAGGGATGAGCCACTGCGTTCGAGTCCGGGTGAATTTGGGGTTTCTATATTTCATTCTGAAATTGGGTGTTTTGGAGGGTCTTGGGACAATGAATGAAAATAAAATTTGTTTGTAAGGAAGGAATGAAGGAACATACCAATTTGTTTCGTTTTGAAAATCTTGTATAAAGGTTTGATTTTTTTGTCTGTGCTTCAGTGTGCAGAAATACAAGCACAAGCGTGCACACACACTCATACATTCGCTCCCTCTCCCCCTCCCCCATCGCATCTCTCTCTCTCTCTCTCTCTCTCTCCTCTCTCTCTCTCTCTTCTCTCTCTCTCTCTCTCTCTCTCTCTCTCTCTCTTCTCTCTCTCTCTCTCTCTCTCTCTCTCTCTCTCTCTCTCTCTCTTTCTCTCTCTCTCTCTCTCTCTCTCTCTCTCTTCTCTCTCTCTCTCTCTCTCTCTCTCTCTCTCTCTCTCCTCTCTCTCTCTCTCTCTCTCTCTCTCTCTCTCTCTCTTCCTTGACATACATAAAAAGGGATATAATGACATTACCAGAAAATATATAGAACGTAAATAATGATGAGTTTCAAGCCATTATTTTCATTACAACAAATATAAAATAAAATCTACCCCAAAGTAAAAAAAATACCATCTCTTTTGTGTCAAGGAAATGCCTATAGTGTGTTTTGAAAGAAAGAAGAAAGATATGGCATAACGTAAAAGTTATATATATATTTTTAAAGTATTGTTCAAAAGATATGAATTTCCTTCTCATTCAAGTACCAACGCTAACAGTACAATTTAGAGAAAACAAACAGACGTTTACAGAGAAAAAATCGTCATAAAATTAATTAAAAATAATCATTAACTATTGGCTATTAACATGATCCGTTGGTTGTCACATGAACTTCAATATTTACAAGACTATTGAATACAAGTCACAACATCAAGAATTAACAATCTGCTTTGTACAACCCATTGCAAATGACAATAGAGATAATAACCTTAATCAGATAATAATAATAATCATAACATCACCACTGATGGCGGGAAATTGATAGTTACTACGTGCGTATAAACTGTTTTGCTTATTCCATTCATTTAACTTACAACTTTTAAATTAAATCCATATGAATGATTAAAGAGGTAATTCATTCATTCATGATCTATTCTAAGTAGGTCTTGGTTGTTAAAAAATTTGTATATTTTACAAAGCGAACTGATGCTTCAGGTTATTTACAAGTTAACAGATTTGACATGTCAAATCAAAACATGAATTTGATATGATTAATAAGATTTTACATGCATTTGTTATAATATATATTGTGTATATATATACATATATATATATATATATTATATATATATATATATGTGTGTGTGTGTGGTGTGTGTGTGTGTGGTGTGTGTGTTTGTGTGTGTGTGTGTGTGTGTGTGTGTGGTGTGTATGTATATATATGTATATATAAATATAAATATATATATATATAATATATATATATATATATATATATATATATGTGTGTGTGTGTGTGTGTGTGTGTGTATGTGTGTGAATAATACCTACCTACATACATACATACATACATCCACACATGAACAGATACGTACACATGCATTTCTCTTTCTTTTACAAAATGGACATCATCTACATGTGTGTCTGTCCAAGTCAATCACGAGCGCCATTTTTTCCTTCTGTTTTCATCGACAAATCATGCAGCGGGGATTGCATGACAGTTCATCAGGCGATTCCTCTCCCCCCCCCTCCACCCCCTTCCCTTCGCTCCGAGGGACCTGCATTTCAGTCCTTGATTATGAGTTATGTGAATCACGTGACACTCCGTCCCCTTCCCTCCCCCCACCGCCCTCCTCCTCACCCTTCCCTTCTCCGAGCCCTCTCTCTTCCTCCTGCCCTCTCTCTTCGCCGTCCTCCCCCTCCCCCCCACCCGCCCTCCTCCTCACCCTTCTCCTCTACCTCCTGCCCTCTCTCTTCACCCTCTTTCTCCTTCTCTTCCTCCCCTCCCTCCCCCA